ATATATATATATATATATATATATATATATATATATATATATATATATATATATATATATATATATATATATATAAATATATATATATAAAATGTGTGTGTGTATATTAAAAATCTTAATCTATTTCATTCAATGAAAGCTTTATATGAATTTTTAAACACTCTTCATCATTTTACCTTTTATTTATTCAAAAATAATGATTTATAGAAATATTAATCTATGCACTTTAATATTAAAATCTAAAAGTGTTAAGGAATGTACTAGGGTTTGTCGTTAACGGGCTCATTCTTGTTGGGCTCGTAAGTAGTTCATAAGCTTGTAGCTATTATAAATAGCAGATCTATGTGTAATCAAAGCATCCAAGTTCAGTTCTAATTATATTTCTACATGGTATCAGAGCCAAATCTTGGGAAAACCTAAAATCCTAGTTTCCTCTAGTTTGTCGCTTCTGCTGCCGCCGTCGCTTGCGGTTTGTCCAGTGACGGCGGCATCACCATAAGATCTCGCCGCACCAAAAGGGCGTGAAACCCTAGTTTACTCTAGCTTCCGCCACCGCCGTAATCTGTTCGGTGATGACGCCGTCACCCTCGTTCATTTACCAAAATCCATCAGTTGCTACTCCTCCTGTTGTTCTTCCACCTATTTGTGATTATGCAACAACAATCACGGTTGGTTGCTTATTTTCAGTCCGCCATAACTGTTTTTGTTGGGTTGACCTTCATCGTCAGACCGCCATTGATTGCCGAACAAAGTCCAGTGCCGCAGTTAGAGTCCCATTTGGCAATTCATTATTGTCGTCACCCTTAAGTTTTCAAAACAAAGGGTTGATTTTGTTTGTCTCTGCCAATCTAAGGGTGTTGGGTGACTACTCTAGTGTTGGCCACACGATGTGGAAATCCAATTTGTTTGTATGGGTTGATTTTGCAGATTCCTAAGTCAGATTTGTTTTCAAGATTCCAGATTTGTTTTTATTTTTACTCCACGGAAGAAGGTTTTATTTTCACTCTACCTTTCATCGAAATTTGATGATGTTTTTGGCGACATTGTTTTTGGTTGCTGTTTGGTATGTTCAAGTGCAACCAGTTGTATGTTCGGCATATTTGTTTGTGAGGTCTGTCGCATAATCGCGCCTCAATCCGACATATCAATTTGTGAGGTTGGTCGCATAGTCGCGTCTCAGTCCGGCAACACGGCTACCAAGTTTGGGATGCCTGTTAGTCGTCCCCGTGTCACCGCGTGGGAGTCATTCGTCATCAAAATTTGTTGTTCGTTTGCAAGGCCGGTCACCTTCGTTCGTTGTTTTCACAGCAGATCAAGTTCAAGTTGTTTATCAATTTTTTTAGTCTTAGTTTTGTTTTAATTGTCTAAGTTGTGCATTCCTTAACCTCATGCTCAACTTGAGGGGGAGTGTTAAGGAATGTACTAGAGTTTGTCGTTAACGGGCTCATTCTTGTTGGGCTCGTAAGTAGTTCATAGCCTTGTAGCTATTATAAATAGCAGATCTATGTGTAATCAAGACATCCAAGTTCAGTTCTAATTATATTTCTACAAAAAGTAAAAAGATATATTTTATAGTTAAAAAAATTTAATAAACAAATTTTAGCATTATCAGAAGAATAAAATATATAAAAAATTTAAAATGTATACGCGAAGCATGAGGTTAAGACTAGTAATTAAGATAATTGAAGGTTTTATTTTTGTTTGTTAATGAAGGAAATTACATTACACTATAAGTACACATGCATATAGTTGAACATCTGAATGGTGACTGTAGAATCTGTAGAGAATTAACTTACAATTCTTTGTGAGAAGTAGAATCAATTGAGCAGATAAAAGACTAGAGAGAGCTTCATCATATCATTTATCATTAACTTCTGGGTTGTTTCATCATCTATGGTTTTGACAAGTTCTTGGGTGGTGCCCAAGTGTAGACCTCAACGGGGTGTAAAGCGCTACTGGTGATCAGATTCTGCGGCAGCCCGTACATGTCGAAACATCAATGTTCTGATGGTTGTTTTGGTGGTGGTACTGCTGATGATTGTTGGCCCCTGCTGAAATAACTTGTTGATCATCATGCAACGGCAGCCTGTCGAAAGTGGCATTCAAGAAGGTTGCAGCCATGATGACGACGGGGCCGGAGGCGATGAGCGTCCCCACCACGCACCCCCCCACCACCTGCCCTCCAGCCCCAGCCAGGTAGATTGTCAGCCCTGTGACCCCTGGTGGGGCTGGAGGGGGGAGAATCGACCCCAGCAACGATAGGATTTCAAACCTCCCATGGAGTGTCACAATGGACCCAGAAGAGGCTGGTTGTCGCAGCGTCACATTGGTCACACACCCTGTTGCGCTTAGCACAGATATTCCCCTCTGCTTTCTTCTGGCAAAGCTCAGCAGGCTCTCGTTCACATCGCACCCAGAGCTGACCTCCATTGCGTGTGCTTTGAGCACATTTGCACTGTCTCTGGCGATGATGATAGGTGGTTTTGGCTTGTTTTTTGACCCGGCTGGCCTGCCGCGTTGCCTCCTCATTGACTCACCTACTGGCACTGCCTTGCACAATTTACCAGTTGCTACAAGTTCTTGGTTCTGATTATTCACCCTGTCAGCACCAGCCATTTTTTCCTTTTTGTGCTAAATAAATTGATGAAACTACAGGCAGTGCTGATTCTGCCTTCGAAATCTGCAGTTAAGTAGAGGAGTTTTAGAAATATATATTTAATGAAAACCACAAAAGTGTGTAGATTAGGAGATTGTTAAGTAACACCAAATTGAAAAATACAATTAATATTGTTTTTTTAGCTTACCAATGTTCCTCTTCATCCTAACTCTTAACAAATCTTGCTTTCATGTTAATTGCCTTCATCAATAGACAATAATCATTTTTTTTGGTTTTGTATTCTACCTTACCCATACTTTCATTAGTAGCGGGGAAAAAATCACTTTGCACCCTCAAAAGATACATAAAAGATAAAGAGTAAATTCCATAATTGGTCCATTATAACAGGGGGGTTTCCATATTTAGTCCTCTATTATCAAATATTAACCCCGTAGTCCTTTTTTAAGGGTGCCTTTCTACAAATGGTCCTTTTTTTGATCTTTTGCTAAATTGTTGTTAATTTAAAGGCTAAAAGCATAATTTGACATCAACATTATGTCTAATGACGTGTTCTGATACTGGTTAAGCGAATAACACAAAATAATGACTATGATTATGGACTAGAATTCAGACGAAACACTACATTTGTAGACTATGGTTGTAGTAGAAAGTGACTGTAATTCACAAACGACGGAAATGGAACAACCTCTGCAATTGTGTATGACAAAAAAGATATATTATCATTGTGAAATTACACTTTTAGCCCTCAAATTAACACAAACATGATTGAAGATCAAAAAAAGGACTATTTGTGGAAAGATACCCATAAATGAAGGACTACTGAGATAATATTTGATAATAGAGGACTGAATAGGGAAACCCCCTGTTATAAAGGACCAATTATGAAATTTACTCAAAGATAAAATGCACCCCCACAATTGTTAAATGTTTTATTGCACCCTTAAAAAATTACTCTCTCTCATTTCACCTTTGGAGGCCATTTCCATACTTTTCTCCGGAAGAAACAAAGGGTAAAAATGTAAAATTGTCTTGCCGCCGCCGTTTGTTTCTCTCGTGTCGAGGATCTGGAAAACTAGTGTTCTTCGTTGTTGGTTTCTCAGCTTCATCGTGTGTTCTACTACTTTGCTCGTCGCCAATTAGGTGTTTTTTTGGTAATTTGGTTTTGCTGTTGATTTGTTCGGTTTTAATCCCTCCGTTAAATTTTTAATGCTTCGTGAAAGCAATTCACTCACCCCAAAGCCAGATTTCTCCAAATGAACTATCCATATTCTTCGCAATTTGTAATTATTGCTATCTCCAGAGGCATTCCATTAACCAGGTGCATTCAACAAAACTCAAATGGAGCACATTTTTTATCTATTTGAGAATTGTTTCTTCTTCTTCTTCTATTGACAACTTTGAAGGTGTGGAATTAGGTGCTCAAACCCTACAATTTTATTTTAAGAGTAAACGGATGACTTTACGCTTTGTTTCTTCAAAAGAAAAGAATAAAATTGAGGTCAAGAGTTAAAACCAGAGAAAGAAAACTTTTTGAGGGTGCATTATAACATTTCACAACTCTAAGAGTGTATTTTAACTTTTATGCACCCTTTGAGGGTGCAAAATGATTTTTACCCAATGTAGGGTAAAAACACATTATCTTTTTTTTTTTTAAGTTTTTGGATATAATTTAAACGCTCTAATATTTTTAGTTTTGTGCGGAGTAATATAATTATATAATTGCATCATAATATTTGATACCCGGATGGAGTATAAAATTATATGAGCAACTCGTACACAGAGGTAAGAAGTAAGAACCTAGCTTACACTAAAGATCAAATTCATTCGATGGAGCGGAAGGAAGGGGGCATGAAAATATTTAGAAAAGATGGAACACCCACTACTACTGATCACCTAATGATTTTGGACAATCCCTTCATTCCCCGCCAGAATCAAATACTTGTCTCTTCTGGTAAGAGCGGTGGGCTCGAATCCCAATGCTTCAGCCAATTGCTTCTGTATGTGATTGGCCACTTCAATGCTAGATTTGCCCGCCGCACAGGTCAGCTCTTTCGGCACCTTCTCCAGCACATGGACCGTGTAACACGGCCTGGGGTTCATCAAGAAGAAGAAGGGGTCCAAGCACTTGAGCCCTCCCGCTGTGGTCCCATAGAACATGTCCACACTCGTGTTCACCGCGACGGGCACGATCTCGTCTGCCAGCTCAGCGAACAGCGCACTGAACCTTAACAGGTACGGCTCCCGACACGTGGTTCCCTCGGGACAGACCACCAGGTCACCACGGCTGAGCAGCCTCTGCATTGTCCGGGCGTCTTTGGCTTTGTCCCTCGTCAGCCTCACTGTCCTGATTGGGGCAATGAGCTCGGACACTCTGCTGAGGCTGTAGGTGACGGCAGTCAAGGGCTTCTTTAGGACAGTGCTGAGGAAGACCGGGTCTAGGAGGGTCCTGTGGGTGCAGACGTAGAGGACACCTTTCCCATTCTGTGACCTCGGTGGGTCTGAACCTATGAGCCTGATCTGGACACCGGTTAGGCTGGCGAAGAGCATGGCGGCGCCGTAGGGTAAGAAGTGTCCGATGCACATTCGGAAGATGGACAAGGGTATGCCAAAGGGAAGCCAGATGAACATGGCTAAGGTTGCTAGGGGTGTGGGCAGGAATGCTAGCCTTCCGTCGTGGAACACGAGGGGCTTTGGGTACTTTTCTCTTGGCATGACTGAGCTTGATGGAGAGTTCATCTTGTTGCCATCTTCTCTGCTATTAACCATGTAGGCTTCCTGATCGATCCAGATTAACAAAAACTTAGCACTTTAATATTGTAGACTTGAATTGGCATGATGTATATACGGAGTACATTGCAGGAAAGATTAATGTGACAAATTTAACTATTTGGATTATATTGTAGCAGTTCGATCTCCTGATTCAATTATAGGTGTGTTTTCAATTTTGTTACATAGTTCCAGACATGTTCTTACTAGAAAAGTGTAGCTATGAATTTCCGACTTGGGAATCATTTTTGTCTTCACTTGCAACTTGCAATACACGCCCCTCAATTCAGAAGTAGGTGAACAAGTATAAGTATAGCAAATTGAACTTGACAACTTTTTAGATGTTTTCATTAATTACTTGGGGCGCATATACCACTTTAAGTATTTCTATAAATAGCTTGGCTCCCTTTAATAAAAATAAATACTCTCTCGTCCCAGTTTAAGTTGCATATTGTTCTTTACAACACTTGACTAAAGTTATTTTCAAATAAATTTTTATAAAAATTGGGATAGAATAAAAAAATAAAATTTATCTATTTAAAAACTACATCAAAATTTTATATGATTATATTATTTTACCAAATGAGTAATGAAAATGAGTAAAAAATGATTAAAATTTGATCATGTGAATAATAAACTGACAACTTAAATTGGGACAAAGAGAGTACATGTGTTTTAAGCCTTGTTGTTTTAGTTGGATAAATTAACTTCAAATTTTTTTTTAGTTTTTTTCAACTTTCTCCAGTTTTTTTTAAGTTATGTCCTTCCAGTGTTTTCCAATAACAACTTAAAAAGGTATTTATATCTTATGAATATATACTCCTTCCGTCCCAAAAAGATTTACACCTTTCAAAAAAATTGCGTCCCACAATCTCCTACCCATTTCTATTAAAAAACCACTTTTACCCCTTACTTTTTCAAACCTTACCTATCACATCATACCTTTTTCTTAATAATCTACACATCACACCCTACTTTTACCCATCACATCAAGGATATTTTTGGAAAGTCAATACAAAATTATCCCTCCCTTAATTTCAACTTTAGTCAAAACGTGTAAATCTTTTTTGGGACGGAGGTAGTATAAAATAATATTATATATCAAAACTTATAAAACATATATGTCTTCAAACATGAACTAAGATAAATTCTTTTTTATCCAAAGTTAAAACTTTCTTACATATTTATTTGGATGATTATTTAATGAAGTGATTTTTTAACACTTTAATTCTACTAATACTTTTTAACTTCTTTGTGTTGTTTCTAATTTCTCAGAAAAACTGATTACTCCGTAATTTTCAACATTTGTCTTTTGCGGTACAATATATCGAAGAGATGTAAAAAAATGATAAGGTAATAGTAAAGGCATTGAATATTTTTATTGTTTTAAAAAGCAAATAATCGTCCCATTAATTAAACTTAACTAAAAGTAATTTCAATCAAGCATAGCATAGTATAAAAAAGATATACTCCCTACATTCCAATTATAATTACAATTTTTTTCTCTCACTTCTTGATAATATTTGTTTATTTCTATCTTTTCATTGATTATTTGATAAAATAAAATAGATTTGTCACATCTTATTTTGTAGAACTTTTCACGTAATTTTTAATTTGTATTCCTCTATCCGAAATTTGATTACAAATTTAGATTTAAGAGACAAAGTTTCTCATCTTTTGAAATAATTTTATATACAAATTGGTATACCGATAAATAAAAAAAATATATACTAAAAAATTATGCCAAAAGTTCTACAAAAAAGTAATGATAAAAGTGTTATTTTTTCAAATAATCAATAAAAATATATGATAAACATAAGTTATCGAGAGAAGAGAGAAAAATAAATTGTAATTAAAATTGGAACGGGGAGAATATATTTTTATTGATATAATAACCTCGTAAGTCTCAATCTTTAATCAAATTTGGGGTAGAGTATAAAAAGGTTGGATAACGTTATTTGTACCCCAAAAATTTGTACCTCATTTTGTATACCACAGTGATGCACTTACATTTTGTGTTGGTGTAATGCTAATTTTTGTTAACGCACTAACACTTTGTGTCAGTGTAAATTTTTATCAACACACCAACATTTTGTGTTAATGTAAACCATCAAAATGTTGGTGTATACCTTTACTGTACAAATAGGGTACAAATTTTGGTTATATCATCATATACCGTATATGTAGCAGTCTTTAAAAAGGTTTGCTAACCATCCGAAAAACACCAAAGGCAAAGCTCTATCGTACTAGGGACATGTAATCTATTACACACCCTACGCAAATTACACCCATTGTCCTCCCTCAACCACCCACCCCGTGGCCAATTTAGTTTTCAATTTACAGTTGTCCAAACTAAAATTCACAAGACCAAACTCATTTTTGTACCCTTATGCGGTGCACAACAATAAAATGTAAGTAATATTCCTTTCAAATAAAAAATGTAATGTTACATCTTTCAAATAACTTTTGTTTATTTTTATCTTTTTATTAATTATTATTAGATAAAATAAATTTTTATTTTTAACTCTTGTTTTGTAAGATCTTTTATTTAATTTTTAAATATATAAACTTTATTTTTTATTTGCATACAAATTTATAAATAAAATCATTTTAAAAGTTACAAGATGGTTTGTATAAGGCTTAATTAGTAGGGTACAAAAGAATTACTCCGTATATTGTTGGAGACATGCACCAAATGATGTTAGAAACTTGCCTTAAATGGAGTAGTTGTGGGTGTAATTATGAATATGATATGTTGTGCTGAAATCTTAGTATAATGAATTGATTTGGTGTGGCCATTTCGAACTGTAACGTCCCTTTGTAGGGTCATCGGTCACCAAGGGTGCAGCTGGATTGGGCAAATGGATGGCCCAGATTCACCAGCGTGTGCGGAGGAATTAAATTATAATGTACCACTCCCTCCCCCCTATATTTTTATTTTGATGGGCCGGGGGCTATGCCACTCATCACCTTCAGCCAACATCATTCATTCATTGCTCGTCACACTCCTTACCCTCTTTTTTTTATTTATTAGGTCCATTACTTAAGCTGGCCACCAACGCAACTCATCATCCATCAATTCATCAAATACTCCCTCCCTCCATATTTTTTCTGATTTGTGGCCTATGAATTCATTGTTTCATTGAAATTATTTTTAGTTTAGTATAAGAAAATTATTCATGTAATATTAAGATTTATGGAGTACTCGGTATATATTTTAAGTACTAAAAGAAGATATACAACTTCCGTCTTAGAAAAATCTCACTATTTGAATTTTTTGGTCAAATTGTAACTCTTTTTTACCATAAATTATTTTAAAAAAATATGTTTAATTATAATGTAAATTTAACATAATTAGGTTTTTCTTAAAATATGATTTTAATATATCAAATTCTTATGATATTTATTAAATTAAATTGATTTTTTGATCAAATAGTATCAAGGTTTGACAAAAAGAATCAAAACAGAAGAGTTTCTCAAGGCCGGAATGGAGGGAGTATTATGATTTATCTCATAAATAAGGAGAGTGACATCGTAAAACACTCCTAATTTGACCATATGTGTTGACATTTCACAATAAACACTGAAAATATGTAAACTGGTGCAGATAATTCTTCCTTCAAATTTATCCTAGTTGTATTGGTATGAAAACTGATGCAAAATTCTAAAATAAAAATTCATAAACTACTATGGAGTTCAAAAAATTCTATAAAACAAAAAGTCGGGATTTATTTTATCAAATTTGTTCTTAAAATTATAAATAATGAACATGAATTATTTTTTTGTTTTTTTTTGAACTGAGGAACTAAATTTATAGTACTCCAAATTTAATTTGATGTCCTAAATGTAGTTGAACTCATTAAGACCATCCTTGGAGCTATTTTATCCAACGGGGTACTCCAAAAGTGTACAGTTGCAATAGTTACTCCTTTCATCACTTACAAAGGTTTCATTTTTGAACTGACACGAAGGTTAAAAAAAAGTGAAATTTTGCGATTGTAAAAAAGAGAGAAATTTTAAGAGTAAAAAATGATTTTCCAAAAATGAATATTTGAACTACTTTTTTGGAATGGACGAATAAAATTGGAACTTGTTTATAGGAAAGTAGGAGTATATGGAAAATTAATGATAGTCAACCCTTATATTTTAAATATGGCACTCCAAATGTTAGACAGTTAGGATAAAGATCATTGCTTTGATTTTTTTACTAAAAGAAATCAAACACCGAAAATTGTAGCACACTAGCACTTGTTTACTATTTCAAGATAACCTTGAAAATGAGTCCGTAAGTCGTTTGATCTTTTTAGTTTTTTTGAGTCAATGCCTCCACTCAATTTAAAACCTAGATGAATTTTTTATGTGAAATTTCTCTTATGGTCCTATTTTTTTTATAAATCTTAGTAAAGGGTGTTTCTACCATTCAATTAATTCAATTCAAAGGAGTTAATCTAGGTGGCATGCAAAATGTAAAGTTGCTTACATATAAGCACTCTTGCTTCTGTAAACAACAATATCTTGAGATATAAAAAAATATTTTTAAATAACAACCAATAAAATTTAGTAAAGAAAAATTATTTTTAATGATATACTCCATCCGTCTCATAAAACCTTTCTTCTTTCTTTTTTCATCCTTTCCAAAAATCTCTTCTCATTTCTATTAAAAAGTCACTTTTACCCTACTAATTCTTAGTCTACTTATCACATTACATCTATTCACTATTAATCTACCCATCAAATCTTATTTTTATCCATCACATCCAAGGACATTTTTGAAAATTCAACATCAAAATGTACTCTCCTTAAATCTCTCACAAATCAAAATCTCTCATGTTTTTAGGGATGAAGGGAGTAGTAATAATAAGTTGTGAGTTGCTTATATTTACCATTAGAGTAAAACATGACTGAATTGCTTATGGAGTTTTAATGATGTGAGAACACATAAGATCCAAAATAGTTGAATCTTGAGCTCTTCTTTTACTAAAGATGATCTAATGTCCAAATACTAAATGTAACTTTCTTACATATTTTTATTGCTCAAAATTAAATTTTTTTTACAAGACTCAATACATATGATCATTCTATATATTAAAGTCCATAAAATGAACTTGGATATCATATATAGGGGCACCTAAGACCCCCAAAAAAAGCCAAATTAGAGGGAGAACAAAATCATGGCACAGCGTATCTTTAAAAAATGAGGCATATATATCTCATTAAAAAAATCTGATGGCTGCAAATTCACAAGCGAGGCACCAATTGCAAACCAACATGGAAGGGCGGCCAGCCCCATATAGTTATGGAGCTTCTAGTAGACTCCAAATAATGTGATGCATGGCATGGGGATAAATATAATCATCAACATGGAAAACGCCAAAACAGTTATATATGATAGAAAACTTTATTTTGTTTCAGTTTTGAAAGAAGAAAAAAAAAACATGAGATAAATCACAAAATATTGGCCCACCAAGTAAAACACAGTGGAAGCATCCAATTAATGCTTTTTTTTTCCTTCACTTTTACTTCTTTCTTCTTCTAGGTTGTCTAATATTGTCCTACCTTTGGTGGGCTTGACCCTTGCAGAGGCTTGACTAATTGACTATATGGTTGGTTTCTTTGTTTCATTTTGAGCTGCATTTCAATTGAAACTTGCCTTTTTGGCAACCCAACCGCACCTATTTTGGAATTGAATAGTCTAGTATTTAATATTGCCAAAAGCTAAAAAATATGCCACTCCCTCCCAAATAAAAAGTTACAGTTACTATTTCGATCTCTCGATAACTTTTGTTTATTTATTCATTTTAGTTGACCACTTGATAAAATTAAATATTATTGTCGCATCTAGTTTTGTAAAACTTTTAATGTACTTTTTTATGGTGTAATTTTTATTTTTTTTTTATTTTTTATTTTAAAAAATATGATATTTTGCACATTCTTCAAAATGTCCCAAACAATTTGGGACAAAGGGAGCAATATTTACCAGCCCTCTTTCTAATTATACGTCCAGTTTTAGTCTATCCAGTCAAAATTAATAAACATTAATTATTAATTAAAAAAATCTATTTTAGATATTAATACAAGAATACTTTTTTAAATTTATTTTAATAAAATATTTTTAAAATTAAATATTGATTTATCAAATAAATATACCTTGTAATTTTTATTTACCTATATGCCAAGGTCAATTCTTATTTACTAAAAAATTAAAACTAGACAAACACTTAAGGAGAAATGCAGTAAGGAGTAATAAAATAAATACTACCTACATCTCAAAAAATCCTTTGGGTTTTAATTTTTTTTATCAAACAATGACACTCTTTACATAAATTAAACATTATTCATTTAAATAAATGTTATAAAAATTTAATATATGAAAAACATATTTTAAGATAAACCCAATGATATTTAACTTATATCAAAGTTAAGTATATATTTTTTTTCACAATTTGAGGTTAAAAAATGTTATTGTTTGAAGCAAAAAAATCAAAACAAAAAAAGATTTTCGAAGAGGGAGGTATTATGAGAAAATGGTGGTACTATACCTGACAAAGGGAAAGGAAAAGATGGTCATGAAACCTTGAGGTGCCAACCCCAATATGAGGCTTCTCATCACCAAACACATGCTTGAGAGCCCTATGCTTGACAAGAAGGCCAGAACCAGAAACCAGCAAGCCACTAAACCACCCACCAATCACTTGCAGCTCTGTCCCCTTCACATCATCAACACTCAAATACTCCCTAACAAAGTACTCAACCATCACCCGAGGTGCACTTGTGAACACCACTTTCCTCCCACAAGAAGCCAACACCTCATACACATGCCCATTCATGTTCTCAAGATAAAACTTGGGCAAAACTGCCCTCCCCACCATCTCCGCGTCCTTCACCTTCAACCCGCAGAACGTCACGAAGATCATGGCCCTGAGCTTCGCCTCGTGGTTCAAGAACCAGAGGAATGGGGAGGAGAGGAGGAGAAGGAGGGCACGCAGCACGCTCCCGCCTTCGAACGCCACGAGCATGAAGAACGGGAACAGAGACTTGGTTCTCAAGAGAGTGCCCTCCACGTCGCACACGAACGACTTTTCTTGGGACTCGCTGCTATTGAATTTTGTGAGGCTTGGGTGTGTGGAGGAGTGGTTGGAGGAGGACTTGAAGGAGGAAGAAGAGGAGTGGGTTTTGTTGGAATAGGATGCAGCGGCGGCGTTGTGCCACTTGTGGATCAGGAGGAGCTTGTACAGAAGCCACTCTGCTAGCCTGAGGATCACCATTGGGAAGACCATGGTTTTCGCCTCTCGCTTTCTCATTTGGGTTTTTGAAGGGATCTGTTTTTGTTATCTATGGGTTGCAGTAGTATTTAATTTATTAGTTGGTCTGGAATTGCAAGTGAGTATTTGAAAGATCAGAAAAGGAGGAAAAAAGACAGGAAGATAGGGAAAAGGATGGAGGCTTGGATGGGGATGAAGAGATGAGAAACAGGTGCAGTGGGTATTTATTAAAGGGAAGAAAGAGAAAAAAGCTTTGAGAAGCCCACGAATTACTCGTAAAACACACCAACTCACTCCGGGTTTATCATGGCCTTTAATGCTAATTACTTTAACATTAACTTTTCTGTATTAGTACCCCGTAAGTTATGATCAACACTACCAAAAATTACTCCATAACAAAATTAGTAACAAAAAAACTTATTTTTTCCTCTCATAAACATGTTCTTGTTTTATTTTTAAAAAAAAAATAAGGAAGGGAAAATTTTATGCTAACTTTCTAAAAATACATTTGATGTAATGAATAAAAGTAGCACGTGATGTGTGAATTATTAGTAAAAAGAATGATGTGATGATATGTTAAAAATTAATATAGGCAAAAGTAATTCTTAAGAGAAAAGAGCAATTTTGTAGGACAATAAAAAAGAAAGAGAAAGGAATTTTTGGGACGGAGAAAGTAAAATAAAATTTTCATTGTTTTTATTTTCAAAATAAGATTTTTAATATAATACTACATCCGTCCCAGAGTATTTGTCCACTTTCATTTTTAAACACCATCGAATACACTTCTTTAATCCATTTTATCTTGTAATTTGTATATTAAAAAATTATAGAAATTATATATTAATAATCTATATGTTAAGACAAATCAAACAAGATCACACATGACTATATTTAGGCTTACACATTGAGAGAATTTGATGAGTCAAAGTGCTTAGATGAACAGTTCCAAAAGTCAAAAGTGGACGAATACTCCGGGACGGAGGGGGTACACTATAACGCTATGTTTGATTNGTCCACTTTCATTTTTAAACACCATCGAATACACTTCTTTAATCCATTTTATCTTGTAATTTGTATATTAAAAAATTATAGAAATTATATATTAATAATCTATATGTTAAGACAAATCAAACAAGATCACACATGACTATATTTAGGCTTACACATTGAGAGAATTTGATGAGTCAAAGTGCTTAGATGAACAGTTCCAAAAGTCAAAAGTGGACGAATACTCCGGGACGGAGGGGGTACACTATAACGCTATGTTTGATTCAAGAATTTGAAAAAAAATGTGTTTGGTTCTGAAAAAATATTTTTCAAGAAGATGATTTTGTAGAGAAAAAATAATTTCTAAGAAAAATTATTTTCCTATATCATTTCTCATTGTTTGGTAGGAAGAATTTTTTTAAAAAATAATAGTTCCTCCGTCCTATGAAATATTTTCTATTTTGACTTTTGGAGAGAAGCTGTAGACATTTGTCCAAGGTGAAACGATGATAATTGAAATTGGTAGGGCTCGAAAAATGTTAAAATGGTAGTGCCTAGAAGGTAGTTGGGGTGTTTGGTTAGATTTAAGAAAAGTAAGTGTAATTGTACCTGTTTTGGCTAAATTGGAATATTTTATGGGACATGTAAGATGAAAATGTTTAAAAAGTTTTACTGGATGAAGGAAGTATATTTAATTGTTAAAATTTCAGAATTCATATTTAAAATTTTGTTTGAAGATAATATCAAAATATTTTAAAGAAAACCCCCTAAATAAGAGTAAATAATTAGACATATACCCAAAATAGGAGTTCCTAACTTATATACTCAAAATAGGAGTTAAACTTAAAAAGAAAAAAGCTAAATAAAAGTGGCCTTCTCAATTAAAAGTGTCGACTATCTACCTCTTCCTTACTGCTCCATTGGATTAGCCACTGAACTCTAGCATTTTCCTATTCCAGTCATTGCAATGACATAGATCTCGTTTTCTGGTCCCTTCTAGCTATTGTCGTCGCACCCAATCTCCGTCACCGGTGTCCTCTTTCACGAGTGACATCCAACGTGTCTCTCTCCTCAATCTCTTCACACCGCTCATCCCTTGCAGATTCGCCACCGCCGCCCATCCCACGGAAATAATTGCTTCTTTCGCTTGCTTATAGCTTTTGCCACTGTCGCCCCCAATTGCATTACCGCCGCCCCTTGCATCGCCGACATCATTCGTCTATCCTTCTCGATCTGTCTCCACCGCTCACCCCTTACAAATTCGCTGCCGCTTCTACAAATAATTGCTTCTTCATTGATATGAGGCTTGGTGTTTGTTTTCAATTTTTGTGTTCGATTTTACTCTCTAGTTATTTTAGATGCTTGATTTTTGCTTCAAATTTCTGTAAATTTGGTAATGTGAAATGAATCTTGACATTGATTGGTGGCAATCTTAACATTTAATCTTTTCTTAACACTATATATTTACATGTTTGGCATTATAAATTGACATATTTTCTACTTTGCATTGTCATCTTTGACATTGTGATTTCAGTTGGCATTGTATGTAAAGTTTTTTCCTTGGTAGTGGCACCATGGCATTGTGGCAGTGGCAGAGGCACATTTCTTGGTCCTGACATTCACGACGGCAAAACGCAGTTGTGACGGTGATGGAGAGAATAGCAGTAGCAAAAGGGATGACATTGCGACTTGTGGCATCACCAACAGCGGCTGGGGCAACATTATCGATGACTGTTTGCATGTCGGCAGCTCTGGCGACGGCATGATGTAGTTGAGGGGCCATAGTTGGAGATTTGGTTAAATCTCTTAGTGTTTGGCGATTGGAATGAAAATGAATTTAATTTGGGTGGGAGTTAATGTGTTTACTCCTATTTTGGAGGTTTTATCTTTCAACTCATATTTTGGTATATTATCAATGTTTTACTCTTATTTTGCTCCTTAACCCATTATTTTAATAGCATGGGGCAGGCAACATAGGGAAGGTGTAACGCCCTAAAACCCGGCTTAGTATTTTAATTAATTTATAAAATATAAATTATTAGTAAGCTGGTCAATACGAAGATTATTTTCTAATTTGCCTTAATGAATGAGGGTTTATCCTACCTTGTAGAGCTCGCTGTTCTGAATCCGACCCCGCAAACAGATTGAGAATTGGATTTACTGGGCCCAAAATACGATTTACGAATCAGGTAATTAGGATTAAATTTATCCTAATTGATTAAGTGGTGTAAAGTTGACCCTAATTATATTTAATTATATAATAAACGCCCGAACTTCTCCCCTGGCTTGAGTGGTAGCAAGCCCACTCCCTAGGATTCATGGGGAAGTTCACCCAGGTTCGAGCCCCAGTGAAGGCAGCAGCATTGGCTCTTTGTGCGTCATTAGTCATTACCTTGAGAATAGTATGAACTCATACTACCTTGTATAGAGTCAATAGCATTGAAAAAAAAAATTATAATAAACGCCGAAGAGGTTAAGGAAAGGAAATCCAATCGCGTAACGCACGACTCGTCCCTCTCTCTTCCGTTACCTGGGGTCCGCCGATGTACCATCGACCGGAGATGCCGACCAGGAAGCCGACGCCGCCAGTGTCATCTTCCTTGGTCTTCGCCACTGTTTCCGTCCGCGCATCGCCGAGGGATAGAAGCAAGCGCCCGTTCTTTCGCTCGTCTCCGCCGACTAGGGCAGTGCCGTGACTCGCCGTCGACTCCAGGGGTTCCAGCGACATCCTCCTCTTCTTCCTCCGTCGCGTGCAGCAGGCCGGCGATACCAGGGAGGAGTTGCAGCGGCGAGTCTTTCCCAATCCAAGGTTGAATTCGTCAAATTTCGAGGTGATCCGTGATTCCTATACCTATAGTTGGCGTTAATTCGTAGATTAGGATCTTGTGGTATCAATCTAGTGTTTGATTGTGAAATTTGTGGTTGATTGTGCATTGGATTGGATTGGGTGTGTGTTGGGGGGCTGTTTTCCGGCGATTGGTCGGCGGTGGCTGCGGCCGACGTACGGGCAGTTTCCGGCGGGTCCAATTTGGATCCAATTGGTTTGGTTTGGACCCAATTGGTTTAATTGGGTCAATTCGGGTTCAATTGGGTTAGCTCTTGTGCAATCGGGTTTCAATTGGGATTGATTTTTGTGCAAACGGGTCGGTTTGGATTCAATTGGGGCTGTCCGGGCAGTTGGGGTTGACCGGGTCGTTGGGCCGACTCTCCAGGCTGTTGGGCCGGCGGGTCCGGCTGTTGGGCCGGCTGCATTGGGCCCGCAGAGTGGGGCTGCCTGAATGGGCAGCGGGTTGGGGCTACCGGGTTGGTCCAGCGGGTTGTCGGCTGATCCGGTGGTAATTGATACTGTTCCGGCAGGGCAGCGGACCTGAGGATGGATTCCTTGGGCTCGATTTCGCGCAGGTAAGTTGAGTTAACTGTTATTCTGGTTGTTTGTTTATGCATGACGGTAATCGTGGGTATTCGGCCCGGATAGGCCGCTACGTGATTTGTTGTGGATTGTGAACTGTAGTTTAAATTAAATTGATCTTATTGGTGAATAATGTGGATTATGAATAATATATGAGAAATAGGCCACCTAGTATAATTAGGCGGACCTGAATTGGATGGACTGATTGAATCACCAATAGGATATGGTTAGGAAATTGGCCATTGCGGGGCGTCGTCGCACCCTCGGTGGTCTTGGGTTAAAAACGTACGTACGGAAGTCCGCGACCAACCCGCCCAAAGTGAATCTCCTTCGGGTTTCTGAGCTGGCCCTTTTATAACATCGCTTGGGGTGCCATGACTCAAAGTTAGTTGATGTGAAATAAAATAATGACATGATGTTCAAATGGAAGGTGCTAGAATAATTATGTTTATTTAAGCTATTTTTCTCCGTAACCACATGCTATTATTTAATTGTATTGTATGTTAATGTGGTGCTATTCTGCGAGTTAATGCTGGCTTAGGTATATTTTCACTCAGCGTTTTGCTGAGCGTGTAGTCGTTGTTTGACTGCACGCAGGTAGAAATACAGATTTGGATGGGCAACCCGGAGGGCAGTGAAGTGGTGACGTGGTGTGGATGGCTCCTGTTTGCCTTAATAATCAAACTACATTATTTAAATTGATTTTATGGACTGTTGGACATTATTTTGTTTTTATTATGCTTCTGCGACGTTTGGACTTATTTTATTACTTCGATGAACTTTGGTTTAGTTAAACTCTTACGGACAAATTATATAATTGACTTAATTGTTTATTTTTAAAGAAACTTTATGCATGCGAATACCAACTTAGTAACAACCCGGTTCGTTAATCCGTTGGTTCGGGTTACGCGGGTTGGGGTGTTACATTTTGGTATCAGAGAATGTGGTTTTAAAAACGATTCTTTGCCAAAATAAGTAAATTTATATTTAAAAAAAACTCATTTTGTTTAAAAAAAATTATCAATTTTGAAAAAAAAAACTATTTTGAAAAAAAACTATTATTTTAACACATTGTATATACATATGTCGAGCATCCACAGCTTCACTGCGTCACTGCTCCGGGAGTTAACTCTGAATCCTTATTGTTGCTTATGTGATAATTATTTGTTGTCTTTAATATTTAGTTATTGGTTGGTTTATTAAGTTATATAAAGAAATACTTATGTGTAGTGAATTTGGAGGGTGAATCTTAAATTAGGGCTGTATTTGGTGACAAGAAGAAAATAGGGATTTTGATATCTCTAATATCAAAGTCCTAATTTTGGTGTTGGTGATTTAGAAAGGAATTAAATTCTGAAAGCTAGAGATATGGGAAATTTCCAACCTTAATTCACCGCTATCGAAAACGAGAAAGGCGTTATCAAAATCGAAGGAGATGAAGATGGGAAAACCCTGTCTCAAAACATCAAAATCCTCTTATCTTCGCATCCAACTCTATGTCTCCTTCCCATGGGGCAACGCGAAAGTCGTGTCTCTAGCAGCGGATTTGGATCATCGACAATGACGGTCGAGGAATATGTTTTCTATTCATAACCCATGCTCACCGTTTAGTTTCCTATACGTTCCTCTGCAACAAAATTTGGTGAAGTCCTCAGCGGTGGATTGGTCACTGTTTTGCTACTATTCATAATCACTACATATATACATAGTATATGTCTTTCTCACCAAACACCTTCTAATCAGATTTTGGAACTCATATCCTCTCCTCTCAAATTTTTTTTTAAAAAACTCATATCTTATCACATCTTCAAAACTCACCAAGCGAGCCTAAGTCATAACTCACAATTATCCATGACGACTAGTGCGATCATGTTATATTAATAATTGTGAGAAAGAATATATTATATTACATTTTGATAACATGTGTAAGAGTTAGTAAAAAAACATAGTCACAGTTGAAAATCTCAACCACCCGAGTCAGATTTAACACGCTAGTAGTTGGTTCGTATAAAGAATGTAAATATGAAAGAAAAAAAGGCGGTATAAAAGAATGTAGATATGAACTTAGTTGCCCGGTGCCAACTTGAGAGAAATGGATGACTCACAATTATCCTTGAAGTTGATTTTGATTAATTTCGGACCAAATTTGTTGTGCTGAGACTCTCAAAAGATAATTAGCTTTCTCAAAATTTTAGCATCACACCACCAAAGACTTATTAATGCTTAATATCAAAATTTAAGGTGGCTTAATAGTATGGGTGAATCACGATAGATTTTGTAATTGGCTTACCCTTATGACGCTGTATGGGTCAGTGTGGATCGTCTTACAAAATCTGCACTCTTTCGACCTGTTCGACGGGGTATGTCGCTTCAGAAGTTAGCTGAATTGTGTCTTCGCGAGATTGTTCGATTGCATGGAGTGCCGTATCTATTATCTCCGATAGTGGTCCCTGTTTCATTTCAAAGTTTAGGAAGTGACTTCAACAAGCTTTAGGTATCAAGCTAAGTGTGAGCACAATCTTCCACCCTCATGGCGGAAGTTGGTCTTGTAACATATCAGTTGGAGCTACCCCCTGAACTGAACAAAATTCACAATGTGTTTCACATCTATATGTTGCGACGTTACTGATCAGATCCGACCCATCAATTACTCGAGGGAACAATCACTTTGGACGATAACTTGACATATGAGGAGGAGCCTGTGCAGATCCTAGGTGAAGCAGTTGAGAAACAAGCAGGTGTCTTTGGTCAAAGTCTTGTGGCACAACCATGCCGTTGAAGAAGCCACGTGGGAGACTAGGGATTATATGAGAGTTCGGTATCCTCACCTTTCCAGCGACAATTGTTCAGATAATTTCGGGGACGAAATTCTTTTAAGGGGGAGAGAAATGTAACGCCCTAAAACCCGGCTTAGTATTTTAATTAATTTATAAAATATAAATTATTAGTAAGCTGGTCAATACGAAGATTATTTTCTAATTTGCCTTAATGAATGAGGGTTTATCCTACCTTGTAGAGCTCGCTGTTCTGAATCCGACCCCGCAAACAGATTGAGAATTGGATTTACTGGGCCCAAAATACGATTGACGAATTAGGTAATTAGGGTTAAATTTATCCTAATTGATTAAGTGGTGTAAAGTTGACCCTAATTATATTTAATTATATAATAAACGCCCAAGAGGTTACGGAAAGGAAATCCAATCGCGTAACGCATGACTCGTCCCTCTCTCTCTTCCGTTACCTGGTGTCCGCCGATGTACCATCGACCGGAGATGCCGACCAGGAAGCCCACGCCGCCAGTGTCATCTTCCTTGGTCTTCGCCACTGTTTCCGTCCGCGCATCGCCGAGGGATAGAAGCAAGCGCCCGTTCTTTCACTCGTCTCCGCCGACTAGGGCAGTGCCGTGACTCGCCGTCGACTCCTGGGGTTCCAGCGACATCCTCCTCTTCTTCCTCCGTCGCGTGCAGCAGGCTGGCGATACCAGGGAGGAGTTGCAGCGGCGAGTCCTTCCCAATCCAAGGTTGAATTCGTCAAATTTCGAGGTGATCCGTGATTCCTATACCTATAGTTGGCGTTAATTCGTAGATTAGGATCTTGTGGTATCAATCTAGTGTTTGATTGTGAAATTTGTGGTTGATTGTGCATTGGATTGGATTGGGTGTGTGTTGGCGGGCTGTTTTCCGGCGATTGGTCGGCGGTGGCTGCGTCCGACGTACGGGCAGTTTCTGGCGGGTCCAATTTGGATCCAATTGGTTTAATTGGGTCAATTCAGGTTCAATTGGGTTAGCTCTTGTGCAATCAGGTTTCAATTGGGATTGATTTTTGTGCAAACGGGTCGGTTTGGATTCAATTGGGGTTGTCCGGGCAGTTGGGGTTGACCAGGTCGTTGGGCCGACTCTCCAGGCTGTTGGGCCGGCGGGTCCGGCTGTTGGGCCGGCTGCGTTGGGCCGGCTGCATTGGGCCCGCAGAGTGGGGCTGCTTGAATGGGCAGCGGGTTGGGGCTACCGGGTTGGTCCAGCGGGTTGTCGGCTGATCCGGTGGTAATTGATACTGTTCCGGCGGGGCAACGGACCTGAGGATGGATTCCTTGGGCTCCATTTCGCGCAGGTAAGTTGAGTTAACTGTTATTCTGGTTGTTTGTTTATGCATGACGGTAGTCGTGGGTATTCGGCCCGGATAGGCCGCTACGTGATTTGTTGTGGATTGTGAACTGTAGTTTAAATTAAATTGATCTTATTGGTGAATAATGTGGATTATGAATAATATATGAGAAATAGGCCACCTAGTATAATTAGGCGGACCTGAATTGGATGGACTGATTGAATCACCAATAGGATATGGTTAGGAAATTGGCCATTGCGGGGCGTCGTCGCACCCCCGGTGGTCTTGGGTTAAAAACGTACGTACGGAAGTCCGCGACCTGTCCTAG